CTGGTCGATTTTTCTCTCTCATCGATGTTTCTAACTCTCTATCTCTCTCCTTTCCTCTCTGTAAAAAATCAATAAAATATATTTAAAAAAAAAAAAAAAAGAAAAATTATCTTTAATAATGTTACATGCAATAAACATTAATATATCAAGAAAAACAATTTTAAATATAATAATGTTGCATGCATTAAACACCCATTATTCAAGAAAAACATTCTTAAATATAATAATACTAGAGGCCCGGTGCACGAAATTCGTGCATGGGTAGAGTCCCTAGGCCTGGCCGGTGATAAGGGCTGATCTGCAGGGCAACCAGCGGGGCGATCGGGGGGTGGGGGGCGCCTGCTGGTACCCACCTTGGCCGGCCTGAGCGTCTGCCCCTGGTGGTCAGTGCACGTCATAGCGACAGGTCGTTCCACCGGACGTTCAGCCGTTCGGTCAATTTGCATATTAGGCTTTTATTATATAAGACTAGAGGGTGGGGTCTGGCTAGGCCTGTGGGGAAGAGGAGATGGTGGGAGGTTGGCTGGCGGGCCCCGCCCCCGATTGGGGTAGGGGAGCCAATTGCGTTGGGACTAGCCGTGGGAGGGCTGTGGGTGCTAGCCGCCAGCCCAGCCCTGATTGGTGTGGGGGGGGCGATCAGGGGCGGAGCGGGCTCGGGGGAGGGGCTGCAGGCTGATCAGGGTGGTGGAGGCTGATCGGGGCGGTGCTGGCTGTGGGGAGGGGCAGTGGGCCGGCCAGCCCTGCCCCTGAATGGGGTTGGGAGGCCAATCAGGGGCCAGCGGCCTGAGGGAGGGGCCATGGGTGATTGGCCAGCCAGCCCTGCCCCTGATCAGAGTGGGGGGCTGATCGGGGGTGGAGCTGGCTGGGGGGTGGGACCATGGGCCCATCAGGGTGGTAGGGACCCATCAAGGGTGGGGCTGGCCAGGGGGAGGGGCCGCAGGCAGTTGGCCAGCCGGCCCCACCCCCAGATCAGGCAGTTTGCTTTAAAAAATATAGTTGAAAGTATCACACTTTTCCCTCTTTTCCCCTCATTGACTCCTTCTAGCCCACCCCCGCCGCAGGCCTTCACCACCCTATTGTCTGTGTCCATTGGGTTATGCATATATGCATACAACTTCTTTGGTTGATCACTTCCCACCCTCCCACCTTCCCACACCTTCCATCTGAGATTCCTCAGCCAATGAACACTTTTTAAAAATGTTTTTAGCCCTAGCTGGTTTGGCTCAGTGGATAGAGCGTCAGCCTGCAGACTCAAGGGTCCCGGGTTCGATTCCGGTCAAGGGCATGTACCTTGGTTGTGGGCACATCCCCAGTAGGGGGTGTGCAGGAGGCAGCTGATCGATGTTTCTCTCTCATCAATGTTTCTAACTCTCTATCCCTCTCCCTTTCTCTCTGTAAAAAATCAATAAAATATATTTTTAAAAAAATGTTTTTATTGATTTCAAAGAGAGGAAGGGAAAAGGAGATAGAAACATCAATGATGAGAGGGAATCATTGATCAACTGCTTCTTGCACGTCCCCTGCTGGGGATCGAGCTCGCAACTGGGGTATGTGCCCTGACAGGGAATTGAACTATGACCTCCTGGTTCATGGGTCCATGCTCAACCACCGAGCCACACCAGCCAGGCCCCATGAACACTTTTTTTCAAAATATATTTTTTTATTGATTTCAGAGAGGAAGGGAGAGAGAGATAGGAACATCAATGATGAGAGAGAATCATTGATAGTTTGCCTCCTGCACACCCCCTCCTGGGCATCCAGCCCCAACCCGGGCATGTGCCCTGGACTGGAATCGAACCTGGGACCCTTCAGTCCTCAGGCCAGTGCTTGTCCACTGAGCCAAACCAGCTAGGGCCCCATGAACACTTTTGAAGTTGGTGGTTATACTTGGGAAGAAAGTTCTCTTATCAACATTCTGAAGTGGAGATTATAGAACACAGACATGGGAGCTTCAGATGAGTAGGAACTAACTTGACTGGATGTAGGAAGCTTTGGGAATTTAAGAAAATAAGGACCTCATCTCTTAGTCATCCTCTGATATAGTGAAGTGTGAGAATAAGAATACATAGCATCTCCTTGAGAGAAGGTCTCAGAGGGGTATGGGTGGATAGATGGACAGATGGATGGATAGGATGAATGTATAGAGAAATTTGGAGTTGAGATTCAGAGTGAACAGCCTCCACTGGATAGCAGGTATTAAAGAAAGTGGAAGGAGTGAAATTAGAAATCTTGAATTGCTCTAACCAGTTTATTGAATACAGCTCTGCTCTTTCCCCATAACTGCCCCCATGAACTCTGTCCTTCCCTGTCCCTGTGTGAACTCTTGGGCGGGTTTCTTAGCTCTCTTTCTAAAGACAGAGTCCATTGGTGCGGGAGGCAGCCAGTTGATGTGTCTCACATCAATGTTGCTCTCTGTCTCTCCCCCTCCCTTCCACTCTCACTTGACTTCTCCTCAGCCCCTATATGACCAGTTATGTGGTCACACAAAGTCCTGTCTTGAAAACATCTGTTGAATTTCATCACTGTGCACTAGCACCCCTGCTACCACATTGATCCAAACACCTACCATCTCACCTCCTGATCTGTGTCCTACTTCCTACTGGGCTCCCTGTAGTCTTATTCTCCCCACAGCAGCCAGGGTTCTTTTTCACATGCAGGTCCATTTATGGCTTCTCTTGCCCTGTGGGTAAAGTACAAACTACTCAACAGATGAGTGGATTGACATTGTCAAGATGGCAGAGATAACGGAGACAATCTCTATATCAGTGATGGCGAACCTTTTGAGCTCGGCGTGTCAGCATTTTGAAAAACCCTAACTTAACTCTGGTGCCGTGTCACATATAGAAATTTGATATTTGCAACCATAGTAAAACAAAGACTTATATTTTGATATTTATTTTAAATATTTAAATGCCATTTAACAAAAAAAATCAACCAAAAAAATGAGTTCGCGTGTCACCTCTGACATGCGTGTCATAGGTTCTCCATCACTGCTTTATATATATAAAAGCGTAAGATGCAAATTGACTGGACGGTGGAGCAATTGGTCGGCTATGATGTGCACTAACCATCGGGGAAGACACTCAACACAGGAGCTGTCCCCAGCCCGCAGGCCCTGATCACTGATTGGGAACTGGGGGTGGGTGGTGGCAGATGTGGGCGGCGCCAGGGCCCAGTTGCCCCACACACACAGGCGGTGGCAGGCGGGGCCAGCTGCTGGCAGCCGGGGAAGATCAGTCCTGATCTCAGGCCAGGCCTAAGGACCCTACCTGCACATGAATTCCATGCGCCGGGCCTCTAGTTTCTAATAATAATAAGATCCTTAGCAAAATAGCTTATTGCGCTGTCTCTTGTTTCCCAGGTGGTGTTGTTTGTGAAGAAGAATGTTCTAGTGACTGGTGGATTTTTCGGAGGCTTTCTGCTTGGCATGGCATCCTAAGGAGGACCTCCTCTCTTCCGTTATTCCCGGTTTCTGTACCTAGACCAGCCTCTACACTCCATCATAGGACATCAAGTCTCCTCTTCTCCTGTGCCTTCTTCCCTGCTATAGCATATCTGAATGGCTTCTATAGGCATCTGTTGATACGAACTGATAATGACCCTACTGTGAGCCTCGTGACAACAACGGAAGATACAATAGACCACCTGTCCTCCCTGAACACTCCCCACTTGACTGAGCTGTAGGTCAGGAATGTTCCTTTCCCCCCGACATAAGATACTTACTAGCACAGTGCAATATAGCTCACTGTGGAGGATAAGTGGATTCTCAAAGGTGCCCCAAACTTGAATTAGAACAGGAATAACAAGCACATAGATACCTTATTATGTGCGGCATGGAAAGGAACTGAATACATTTGCATTTAAGCATGAAAGATTTTTGGTGTCTACTTTCTTTTTTAGTTGGTTTTGGATTACAGAAAGAGGTATTTATAACTGTTAAAATTATCCTGACAAAATGGTGGGATAAACACTATAATTGAAAAATTATGAATGTAGAATGAACTTGTGCTGAACATATGATGAACTGAAGATAGGGTGTTTGGTGGGAAAAAGTTTAGGGAAATCAACCAATAGATACATCATTGGATAATCAGACTTAATGAATCATTTGGGGGCATTAAGATGTTATCCGGGGATGGGGGGTTTCCACCATACAGGATAATACGTCTCATGGCTATTCCCAAAGCGTTTATTTATGGTCAAATAAATGACTTTAGCTGGGAGGAGGAAGCTCTTGGATTTTTATTTCATTCAAACAGTTTTAAGCTTTGAAATGTGAAGTATTTACTTCTTGACAAAGCATTAGGGGTAGTTAGCTCCTCTGTGCCAATTCTGTTTCATTATCCAGTTAGTATAAAATACATTAACGTTTGAACCAGTTTTAAAGAGGTAGCATCCTTGTCCTGGACGGTTTGACTGGCAGTGGTTCTCAACCTGTGGGGTCGCGACCCCCTTGGCAGTCAAACGACCCTTTCACAGGGGTCGCCTAAGACCATCCTGCATATCAGATATTTACATGACGATTCATAACAGTAGCAACATTACAGTTATGAAGTAGCAACGAAAATAATTTTATGGTTGGGTCACAACATGAACTGTATTTAAAGGGCCAGAAGGTTGAGAACCACTGGGTTAGAGTGTCAGCCCATGGACTGAAGGGTCCCAGGTTCGATTCCAGTCAAGGGCATGTACCTGGGTTGCATGCTCGATCCCCAGGCCTGATAGGGGCAAGTGCTGGAGGGAACCAATGGATGGGTCAGTCTCACATTGATGTTGCTCTCTCTCTGTCTCTCCCCCTCCCACTCTCTCTAAAAATCAAATGGAAAAATATCCTTGGTTGAGTGTTCACAATAAAATGAAAAGGTAGCATCCCAGGTATTCAGAAATGAGAATGGTGACAATAACATGTGAAATCAATTATTTCCATCATGAAATGTAAACTGCTGTCTCAATACTCTGATTCCTAGACTTATTCTTTAAAATAAAAGTTTAGCCCTAGCCAGTTTTGCTCAGTGGATAGAGCATCAGCCTACGGACTGAAAGGTCCCGGGTTCAATTCCTGCCAGGGGCGCATGCCTGGGTTGTGAGTTCGATCCCTCCCAGTGGGGGACATGCAGGAGGCAGCCGATCAGTGATTCTCATCATTGATGTTTCTATCTATCTCCCTTCCTCTCTGAAATCAATAAAAAAATATATTTAAAAAAAGTTTATAGACATACGTAGGCTTAGAGTCTTAGTGCATTTTGCTGTAATGGTCTGATATCACATCTGCAGCCCTATCTAGAATATCTGCTTCTAGAGGGCAAGGTTTGTGTGTTCACCATTATACCACGGAGCCTAGTACTTAATAGGTACTCACCATTTGCTGAATATATGAGTAATGACCTCATACAAAGGTATCTGGAAAAGGGGCTGATGCAAAGACTTGAGACTTTATTTTTTTATTTTTGTTTTTTAAAGAATTAAGACTTTATGAGTTCTGAGAATACAGAAAACTTGGAATTTGGTTTTTTAAAAATATATTTTTATTGATTTCAGAGCGTAAGGGAGAGGGAGAGATAGGAACATTAATGTTGAGAGAGAATTGATCGGCTGCCTCCTGCACGCCCCCTACCAGGGATGGAGCCCACAACCTGGGCTTATGCTCTTGACCAGAATCAACCTGGGACCCTTTAGTCTGCAGGCTGATGCTCTATCCACTGAGCCAAACCAGCTAGGGCTGGAATTTGTTTTTAAACTTGCAGTTAATCCCTTGCAAAATGTATGTTTTTAAGGCCTTTCTTTTAAAATGTTTGCCTTTTAACTTACCTTGGGAATGGTATATTGAATGTGGAAATTGTAGCTACCAATGGATTTGTGGAACTTTTTAGAATTCATCCATCTGCTCCACTCATCTGCTGATGGGCACTTAGGCTGTTTCCAAATCGTGGCTATTGTAAATTGTGCTGCTATGAACATAGGGGTGCATATATTCTTTCTGATTGGTGCATTTTTCTCAGATTACGGTAGTACTTTATGGCAGCTTAAGTTATTTTGCTTGCAATGTTTATGAATCGTCCTCAGTAGTAATACTATGAGCCTCTTTGTTGCATATTTTTATACAAGAACTTAAAATATTTTCACTTTTTATTATGGAAACTTTCAAATATATACGAAAGTAGAGAAAATGATACACTTGATCCCCTGTGTATCCATCACCCACCTACAATGATAATCAAATTATAGCTCGTTTTATGATTTATTTTGAAATAAATACCAAATGTGTCATTTTATATTTTAGTATGTATCTCTAAAAGGTAAGAACTCTTTAAAAACCATAAATCCAATATCCTATTATATAAAAAACTACTAATCCCTTAATAGCATCAAATATGTAGTCACTGTTCAAAATTCCCTCTCAAGTTTTACATTTGGTTTGTTTGAATCAATGCATATAAGACATCCAGTTGGATGTCTCAAGTCTCAGTCTTATATGCTCTTTTTATTTTGACTTCCAGTATATTTATTGAAGACACAGTTATTTGTTCCCTAGTTCCCCACATTCTGATGCCTGGGTACCTGGGTTATGCCAAATATGGCAAGTCTGAAGCCTTTCATGACTACCCATGTGACTCACAGACGAATGGAATAGTGACTATAAAACCTAACTGAAGTGCTCTGTGCACCTTTGGGTTGCATTTGGGGAAAGTGGCCATTGAATGCCTCTCCAGTAATCTGTGGGTTGCCTTTTGTCCATCTATTTTTTTATCTGATTATCAGTGATGACAACAAAGGTTAGCAGGTTGGTCTAAGCTGCTTTGAGTGGGTTATAATCCTATATAATAAAAGCCTAAAATGCTAAGTGGTCATCCAGTTGGCCATTGAACCAATCAAAGCGTAATATGCTAATCACTGGGGGGGGGGGTATCCCTCAGCCCAGCCTGCCCCCTCTCACATACTGTGAGCCCTCAGGGGATGTCCTAGTGACGGCTTAGGCCTGCTCCCTGCTCCCCTTGGGGATAGGGCCTATGCTGCAGTCTGGCCTCCCTTTGTGGGAGGCCACCGGGCTGATCAGGGGAAGGCACCAGCCCCATCACCCCGCTGCTGCAGCCACTGCCAGTCACCGCAGCCAGCAAGGTTTTTTCATCAACACAGACTCCAGTCCCTTCACCATGAAAAAATGACAACTTTCTTTAGGCATTTTCAAGATGTATCTTTCATATAATAATTTCTTTATTATTTTTTTATCCTCACCTGAGGATATGTTTCCATTGATTTTTAGAGAATGTGGAAGAGAAAGGGAAAGACAGAAACATCAAAGTGAGAGGAACACTTTGATTGGTTACCTCCTGCATGAGCCCTGACCTGGGCCCCTGGCAGGGAGGAGCCTGCAACCTAGGTACATGCCCTTGGTCAGAATTGAACCCAGACCCAGCAGTGGGCAGGCCGAGGCATTATCCACTGAGCCAAACCAGCTAGGGCAGGATATGACATTTATTAGCCCTCCAGCAGTGGACCTTTGTTTTTTTTTGCCAGGAGTGTGCTGAAAAACCCTAGATCACCTTTTTGGATTCTTA